TAGTCATAATTTCAAATTTCCAGGGTCGCCTCACCAACCTTCTGATACTGTCTGGTGGTGCTACTTGCTGCACAAGTCATTCCAATTTCTTTTTCTCCATTTATTATTATAACCTGCGTACTCTTAGCCCTAGCCATGGTTCCAACGAATAAAAGAAATGCTTCTCATTGTGTAAAGCACCTACACAGTACATTGTCCATTAAAGATAAGGTGGCTTTGAAGCCACTGTCAGTTGCTATGACCTCAGCCCCATTGATGCAGGGGAATACTGTATGCTCTATTATTATGCTAATATCAACACTACAACTTATTTGCCTATCACAGTTGATGTAATATGACATAATAAACAATATAAATAACATAAAAACATGTTAAATACTTCAGAATGAATAATATTTGGCATAATAACGAGCAGTTCGACGGAGGTATGAAGAGGACATGGGATACAAGTACCATTCTCCTATCCCTGTCTTGGGGGCTTATACTAGAGAAAACGGAGTATAGCACAGGGCTATCTGTGATATACACTTGTACTGCACCATAAAACTAAAACAAAAAAGCTATTTTCTCTACATAGATTGTCACACATAGCAGCATATGTGTAGAGAACCTAGGATAACCCAAAAAAGTCAGACGAAGTGGCTTATTTCTAGTACCTGGCTTGGGCTAGCCATATATGATTTTTGGTAAATATTTTTTTCTCAGGTAGTAGGTTGGTAGACAGCAACCACCCAGGGAAGTACTACCGTCCTGCCAGATGACTGTGAAACAAAAACCTGTAACTGTTTTGCATGATGGTAGGATTGCTGGTTTCTTTTTCTGTCTCATAAACACGCTAAGATAACAGGGATATCTTGCTACTCCTACTTACACTTTGGTCACACTTCACAGACACGCACATGCATATATATATATACATACATCTAGGTTTTTCTCCTTTTTCTAAATAGCTCTTGTTCTTTTTTATTTCTTCTATTGTCCATGGGGAAGTGGAAAAAGAATCTTTCCTCCGTAAGCCATGCGTGTCGTATGAGGCGACTAAAATGCCGGGAGCAATGGGCTAGTAACCCCTTCTCCTGTATACAATTACTAAAAAAAGAGAAGAAGAAAAACTTTATAAAACTGGGTGCTTAAATGTGCGTGGATGTAGTGCGGATGACAAGAAACACGATGATTGCTGATGTTATGAATGAAAAGAAGTTGGATGTCCTGGCCCTAAGCGAAACAAAGCTGAAGGGGGTAGGAGAGTTTCAGTGGGGGAAATAAATGGGATTAAATCTGGAGTATCTGAGAGAGTTAGAGCAAAGGAAGGGGTAGCAGTAATGTTAAATGATCAGTTATGGAAGGAGAAAAGAGAATATGAATGTGTAAATTCAAGAATTATGTGGATTAAAGTAAAGGTTGGATGCGAGAAGTGGGTCATAATAAGCGTGTATGCACCTGGAGAAGAGAGGAATGCAGAGGAGAGAGAGAGATTTTGGGAGATGTTAAGTGAATGTATAGGAGCCTTTGAACCAAGTGAGAGAGTAATTGTGGTAGGGGACTTGAATGCTAAAGTAGGAGAAACTTTTAGAGAGTGTGTGGTAGGTAAGTTTGGGGTGCCAGGTGTAAATGATAATGGGACCCCTTTGATTGAACTTTGTATAGAAAGGGGTTTAGTTATAGGTAATACTATTTTAAGAAAAAAGGATAAATAAGTATACACGATATGATGTAGGGCGAAATGACAGTAGTTTGTTGGATTATGTATTGGTAGATAAAAGACTGTTGAGTAGACTTCAGGATGTACATGTTTATAGAGGGGCCACAGATATATCAGATCACTTTCTAGTTGTAGCTACACTGAGAGTAAAAGGTAGATGGGATACAAGGAGAATAGAAGCATCAGGGAAGAGAGAGGTGAAGGTTTATAAACTAAAAGAGGAGGCAGTTAGGGTAAGATATAAACAGCTATTGGAGGATAGATGGGCTAATGAGAGCATAGGCAATGGGGTCGAAGAGGTATGGGGTAGGTTTAAAAATGTAGTGTTAGAGTGTTCAGCAGAAGTTTGTGGTTACAGGAAAGTGGGTGCAGGAGGGAAGAGGAGCGATTGGTGGAATGATGATGTAAAGAGAGTAGTAAGGGAGAAAAAGTTAGCATATGAGAAGTTTTTACAAAGTAGAAGTGATGCAAGGAGGAAGAGTATATGGAGAAAAAGAGAGAAGTTAAGAGAGTGGTGAAGCAATGTAAAAAGAGAGCAAATGAGAGAGTGGGTGAGATGTTATCAACAAATTTTGTTGAAAATAAGAAAAAGTTTTGGAGTGAGATTAACAAGTTAAGAAAGCCTAGAGAACAAATGGATTTGTCAGTTAAAAATAGGAGAGGAGAGTTATTAAATGGAGAGTTAGAGGTATTGGGAAGATGGAAGGAATATTTTGAGGAATTGTTTAAATGTTGATGAAGATAGGGAAGCTGTGATTTCGTGTATAGGGCAAGGGGAATAACATCTTGTAGGAGTGAGGAAGAGCCAGTTGTGAGTGTGGGGGAAGTTCGTGAGGCGTAGGTAAAATGAAAGGGGGTTAAGGCAGCCGGGATTGATGGGATAAAGATAGAAATGTTAAAAGCAGGTGGGGATATAGTTTTGGAGTGGTTGGTGCAATTATTTAATAAATGTATGGAAGAGGGTAAGGTACCTAGGGATTGGCAGAGAGCATGCATAGTTCCTTTGTATAAAGGCAAAGGGGATAAAAGAGAGTGCAAAAATTATAGGGGGATAAGTCTGTTGAGTGTACCTGGTAAAGTGTATGGTAGAGTTATAATTGAAAGAATTAAGAGTAAGACGGAGAATAGGATAGCAGATGAACAAGGAGGCTTTAGGAAAGGTAGGGGGTGTGTGGGACCAGGTGTTACAGTGAAACATATAAGTGAACAGTATTTAGATAAGGCTAAAGAGGTCTTTGTGGCATTTATGGATTTGGAAAAGGCGTATGACAGGGTGGATAGGGGGCAATGTGGCAGATGTTGCAAGTGTATGGTGTAGGAGGTAGGTTACTGAAAGCAGTGAAGAGTTTTTACGAGGATAGTGAGGCTCAAGTTAGAGTATGTAGGAAAGAGGGAAATTTTTTCCCAGTAAAAGTAGGCCTTAGACAAGGATGTGTGATGTCACCGTGGTTGTTTAATATATTTATAGATGGGGTTGTAAGAGAAGTAAATGCGAGGGTTCTTGGCAAGAGGCGTGGAGTTAAAAGATAAAGAATCACACAAAAGTGGGAGTTGTCACAGCTGCTCTTTGCTGATGACACTGTGCTCTTGGAGATTCTGAAGAGAAGTTGCAGAGATTGGTGGATGAATTTGGTAGGGTGTGCAAAAGAAGAAAATTAAAGGTGAATACAGGAAAGAGTAAGGTTATGAGGATAACAAAAAGATTGGTGATGAAAGATTGATATCAGATTGGAGGGAGAGAGTATGGAGGAGGTGAACGTATTCAGATATTTGGGAGTGGACGTGTCAGCGGATGGGTCTATGAAAGATGAGGTGAATCATAGAATTGATGAGGGAAAAAGAGTGAGTGGTGCACTTAGGAGTCTGTGGAGACAAAGAACTTTGTCCTTGGAGGCAAAGAGGGGAATGTATGAGAGTATAGTTTTACCAACGCTCTTATATGGGTGTGAAGCGTGGGTGATGAATGTTGCAGCGAGGAGAAGGCTGGAGGCAGTGGAGATGTCATGTCTGAGGGCAATGTGTGGTGTGAATATAATGCAGAGAATTCGTAGTTTGGAAGTTAGGAGGAGGTGCGGGATTACCAAAACTGTTGTCCAAAGGGGTGAGGAAGGGTTGTTGAGGTGGTTCGGACATGTAGAGAGAATGGAGCGAAACAGAATGACTTCAAGAGTGTATCAGTCTGTAGTGGAAGGAAGGCGGGGGGTAGGGGTCGGCCTAGGAAGGGTTGGAGGGAGGGGGTAAAGGAGGTTTTGTGTGCGAGGGGCTTGGACTTCCAGCAGGCATGCGTGAGCGTGTTTGATAGGAGTGAATGGAGACAAATGGTTTTTAATACTTGACGTGCTGTTGGAGTGTGAGCAAAGTAACATTTATGAAGGGATTCAGGGAAACCGGCAGGCCGGACTTGAGTCCTGGAGATGGGAAGTACAGTGCCTGCACTCTGAAGGAGGGATGTTAATGTTGCAGTTTAAAAACTGTAGTGTAAAGCACCCTTCTGGCAAGACAGTGATGGAGTGAATGATGGTGATAGTTTTTCTTTTTCGGGCCACCCTGCCTTGGTGGGAATCGGCCGGTGTGATAATAAAAAAAAAAAAAAAAATTTTTTCTCAGTTGTTTGTTATTGAAACTTGGGTAATGTATGATCGAAAGATCCTTCTTAACGTACACCAATAATAAAAAAAAAGGGCGATAAATAAGGGAGTTCATTTCTCAGCCACTAGCTGCCTCTTTACTGTATATTTTCATATGGTTTTTATGGTTGTAGTCTCGTTTTTTTTTTTTAGTCTCGTTTGATAGAATGGAAGATATATTACAGAAATAGATATGATTTTGATTGGTTTCACAATGAAAAGTACCTTGAAATTTAACTCAAAGTAGAAGAAATGTTCGATTTTTGCCAATGTTCAATGAACTTTGTGTAAGTAAAGTTGGTTAATTTTATTAAGTGTATTCTAACTTAACCACTCTGTAATCCAGCAAACTCGGTAATCTGACACACTTCAGTTCCCAATGATGCCAGAGTTGTGGAGGACCTGTACTGTATATAAGGATGTACTTCGACTTTTTTTTTGCATGCGTAGTGTTTTAAGTCTCTCTATAATATACACAAGTGTAGATTTTGACATTACCTTTACCCCTCCTGGTTGCTTATTTATATTACAGCATGTAGTAGTCCATATGTATTTGTTGTATGTTAGGTCTATAGGGTCATGATGTGTGTGTGTGTGCAATATTCACTTTGTAAATACTGTACTGTATTAGTTGTAAATTGATAGCAATTTTTATTTTTTACTTGAAACAGCTTGTGTGCTGCCAGGAGAGTGTGCTTTGGTTGGTGTGCATAAGTGTACCTACGGCCCTGGTTACTGGTGTGATTCGCTCTTGTAAGTTTTCCTTTTTTTTTTTTTTTTTTCCTGTCTTGTGACAAGATATATGTCATGTAGGTACTGAAAAACACTAGATTTAAGAATTAGAGATAATGTGTGTGTGTGCTGGTGGATGCCAAGGTGCTTACAGTTTAAAACTCCAGTTTATTGCTTATTTTTTTTTTCGCAACTAATCCACACAATGAAGAAACTTTCAGATCACATTTCAGTCTCTCCTGAACTTTTTTTTCACAAAACATAGTATCAGAACTTTTTTTTCTGCATTTTCTTACACACATTCATTTGAATGTATAGTAATAATATTGAGAGTAGGGAGGTATTGAAAGCCGTGACGTGCTTCCCATCGGTGAAAAAGTGCTAATTATCTACCTATTGTGTGTAATTTATCGACTAGGTCTGGAACGTATTACCCACATATATGGAGGGCTACTGTGTACATATGATTATGTGGTATTATGAAGTAGGATTGTTTTATCTATATTGATTTGAAATTGCATAATAAAAGAACTGCTGTAGATCTACTGGTCAATGAGAAGCAGATTCTATTTATGCCCAACTGTTTTTTCTTCAGTTAGATCTACAGTAATTTTGATAAGTGCAGTACAGCCTCTCCTCGCTTACCGATGTACTCGTTTACTGATGACTCAGACTTATGATGGGCTCTGACCGGTATGCATACCTAAATAATGTATATTAGAGCTGATTTCCTCTGTTCTGTTTATTGTAATACAAAGCACATACACTACTGTATAAACATTTAACCCTTTCAGGGTCCATGCTGTAGTTCTATGGCTTTGAGTTGAAGGTCTAAACCGTAGATCTACACCATGAGCTCAGCTCACTCTGATAAGCTGTGAACAGTAAATTTGGGCCTACATATGAGAGAATACATCTATGTGGTATGTGTGTGCACCACATAAAACAAATCCTGCAGCACATAGTGCATGAGAGAAAAAAACTGAGACCGTAATTTTCGATTAAAACAACGACTTTGCAGTGTTTTTCATATGTTTTTTATAGTTGTATTTGCGATTTCTTGGTCTCATTTGATAGAATGGGAGAGATATTACAGAAATAGAGATGGTTTTGATTGGTTTTCGTACTGGAAATGGCTCAATGTAGTGGAAATGTTAAATTTTTGCCGATGTTCAAGAGTAAACAAACGACCTCAAACTTCTAATACACGCCAGCTGGTGGGTCTAATATACGTTCACAAATATGGTGATATTATTTATACAATTATTACAATATTGCATAATAGTAAATCTTCTATTTTTTGGTTTGAATAAAAATTCATTGTGAATAAAAAATCAAAATGGAATTCATTTGTAAAGCCAGAAAAACTAACTACATAATGAGCAGAGGAAATGTTAGTCTAGTGCCACAAATGCCTGCATTGTTTATTCTGGACCCTATATTGAAACTGGAATATTTTGAACTTTGCATTAAACTGGCCAAATTACCAATTTCCGATCACTATTTTGTAGTTGAAACAGTTGACTTGTTGATTTCTTGTCCTCGATCGATAGAATAGAAATAATATTAGTGAAATAGCTAAGAATTTGGTCGACTGGAATAATGTAATTGCCATAAAATGGGAATCAGTCGGCAAAATCGCCGATGAGTAAATATCGCTGACACATCAAAATTCGCAAGAGCATAATTTCGTCAGTTTTTCATCAAATTTCGTACTTTTTGTTTTATTACCTTCAGAAAAAGATTCTCTACCATTTCATAAGAAAAAATAACAATTTTTTTTTTTTAAATTCTTGGACGCTGGTGCACACTTCGAAATTTGACCTCTGGACCCTGAAAGGGTTAAAAATATACCAGAAATGCTATAAATGGTGCAAAGGTGACATTAAAACATTATCAAAGATGGTTAACACAAACCCACTACCATTATGGTATGCTCCTCACTTAGCGACAAATTCATTTACCGACAAGGTCTCGGGAACAGAACTCCGTCATTACATGAGTAGAGGCCGTGTTATGATAATGCCCATATTTTACACAAGTTGAAATTCAATTTATGAAGTAATATCCTTGCACATTTTCATTTTTTTCAACAAACTGGCCATATCCTACCAAGGCAGGGTGACCTAAAAGAAAAACGAAAGTTTAAATTTTTAAACTTAGTAATGTATGCAGGAGAAGGGGTTACTAGTCCCTTGCTCCCACATTCTTATATAGTATAAATAATGTATTACAGTGCTTGTACCAATTAGGATAGGCTGGAATGGGCAGTGATAAGTGCTTTCGAAGGTTAATGATTTGATAAAATGGTGTAGTAAGTTAGGAGTTACTACAGAGTGTATGAATTGAGTGAGGGAGGAATTTTAATTAGACAAAGAGAAGATTTGCAGTACAGTGGGTTAGAATATTTAATTTTTGTGTAGTATATGGTAATTTGGTGTTTGTGTGGCAAGTTCTCTTTTTAAATTTGGTTAACACATGTTTTTTCATTTTGGAGGCTGGTAATGAGGATCTGCTGTGACATGTCATTAAGTGAAATTGTTTGTGAAATTGTTGTATTACTCAACAAAATTAGTTAAATCAGGCAAATTGGCATTCTGCTAGTCATCACTTTATTTAAAAAATATTAATAATCTGCAGATTTTAGTTTTGAAATTTAATTAATCCCCTGAAATATACACACTTTCACTGATGCAGATTTGATGGTAAGCCTAGCACCACTTATACTTCTTTACTGTCAAAGCAGAATTTGTTGTTTATTGTAACTTTTAGATTTTTCTGGCTTATTGATTAATCTTTATCCCAGCAATGCAAAGGAGTGCAGCGCTGTTAAACACTGCATCCAGACTGTATGGGAGAAGCAGAGGCTGCCGGAAGACAATGATGACATCTGCACAATTTGTAAGAACATGGTTCAGGAGGCAAGAGACCAGCTCCTCAGCAATGAAACTCAGGTAGAACTCTAACCCATTATCCATCTTTTGGTTGTATAATACAGCATTGGAACACTTTAATTCTGTGACTGTTTAATATTATTCAAGCTGGTCACAATAAAAAAAAAACTCTAAATTGTATTTATTTTCTTAGCATAGTACATACTGCATTAGTGTGTTGTAGCACCAACATTAGCCCTGACTGTGACAAATTTTCACAACTTTTGGTAGTTTTTCCCTTCATACATGAGTAATTTATTTTCTCTTTAACCCTTAAACTCTCCAGACGTAGATCTATGTTCACGTGCATAGCGCTCCGACGTTTATTTTCTCCATTTGAAAGCATGTAAAAAAAACGTAGATCTATGTTTGGAGTGCTACACATGTCAACATAGATCTACGTTTGGACAGTTTAAGGGTTAATGAACTACAGTACAGTATAAGATTTTACTATTTAGGTATCTTTACAACAGGAGGAAATCCTTGAAGTCTTGGAAGGCTCATGCCGTTTGATTCCGCTCAGGGTGGTGTCCAATGAATGTGTCGATGTTGTTGATGAGTACACTCCAGAACTGATTGACACATTAGCCTCAGCAATGAACCCTCAGATAGTCTGTGCAACTGCTGGCCTCTGCAACTCAATCAGAATTGACAGGTTGCTGCAACAATATCTGGTAAATAATTTTATTAATTTAAAACTTACATAAAGTAAACAGAGGAGGTAAATAAATGAAATATTACAGGAATTAAGCCTTATAATGAGGTGTATATGTCACCTGGTTTGAATACTATTCATTGTGCAACTTGTTACATTTATAATTAAAACTTGATATGCTAATTTGAGAAATGTTCATTATTGGTTCATCAGTGAAGCTGTTGTCATATTTTTAGGCTTTAGATATCAAAGGCATTATGACCATTTTATAGTTATTACAGTATTATACCAGTCTTTATATAGTGCATATCTAAATGGCAGGAAAATCACCCCGTCGAGTCCAACGAGATCATACCATCTCGACCAGTTCAGGATCCACAACCGGGCGATTGTGAATCCTGCAAGGATTTTGTTTCTCGAGTAATCCGCACAGTGAAGACCCATACCCGTAGCCAGGTAAGACTCGAATCTATATGTAATTACTACTCAAGCATAAGATGGTTTAATACTGCTTGACTTCAATAATTTAAATATGTGCCATAGTTAATAGTTGCTTGTATTACATATCTATGCTATTTTCATTATTCATATGAACCATATTTATTTATCATTCTATGCAAAAGAAATCGCTAAACTCACGTGGGTCGTACAGTTACTGTATTTAGTAATGTTAAATGTGTCCTTTGTTTTACTGTTTTAGCCTTGGTTTTGTGCTTTATCAAATACAGTAATGAATTCCACTTGATTGCAGAAAAGTAATGTGAATATATCTACTGAACAGAGATTTCATATGCCCTCATAATGAGTAATAAAACTTGATAATGTATTTAAAACTAGGAAGCCATCCAGGAAGATGGCCTATTTAATGTTTTGCACTCCAGATTTCCACTTGTTTTTTTCATCTCACTTGGATAGATTTTTACACAAACCAGCTTTTGTGGAGATGTACTCTAGATATATTGTTGATGACATGATTTTTATTATCAAAAAATTTCTTTTCTGCCTTCAGTTGATGGACCGCTTGCTTGCTATATGTGGACGTCTTGGATCTTTGTCTGATGGCTGTATGGCTCTTGTACAAGAAAATTTTGGTGATATCTACAATTTCCTCACAGAGCAATTGAACCCTGAAGATTTTTGTGACTTTATTGGTAAGTGTTATTTTAGGTAGGCATGGTGTATTCATACTGCATGCTATATGATACCAAAGTTCTAGTTGGTTATTGAAATACGTATGTTGGGGCGGTCTTGGGGGGGCAAATGATGTTAAAGAAGATAATTTTTTATCCAGGGTATCTAAGTGGTGTAATAATTTAGTAAAAAGTTCTCTATCATCTAAAGCCTTTTGCTTCACAATCTGAAACTAAATAATCTGCTAAGACCTGTAATACTGTACTTCATATCAAAGTGCCACTTTCTGAAATACCTTTTTTTTTTTTCTATAGTTTTCCAATTATAAATGTATTCATGGAAAAAAACAAGTCTGAGCCATACCTGTGATTGATTTGATAGATTTTCAAAAGCTTGGTGATCACTTAAACAGCCCAGCTTTTGTTGCCCACTGCTTGCAGGCCTAGATAGCCATTGCATTCTGGCTGATAAGGCATAGCCTGCAAAAAATCTTAGTTTTGAAGACTACATATCTAAAGACAATATTTCTTATTTTGAAATACTGTCTTGTCATTGTCAAATGGAAGTGAAAGAGGCATCCTTATGCTCTTACCCAAGGGAAAATTTTTGAGCCTCCAGTGCTCCTTGTTCTGATTAAACCCACTTGGGTTTAGCACTTTATATAACAATCTTGACTCAAGATAATTAAATGTCAACCTTTTTTAATTGTGGTTATTGTACCCTTTCTTTACTCTCTGAAACCTTGGGTAGTTTCAGGTTTGGGTTGGATAGGTGCACGAGTGAGAGGGGTTGGATTTGGGTGGGACTTGCGTGTGGGAGTGGATGGAGTTGTCGAAGCTTGTTTATGGGTGGCATTGAAAATTGGGTTGGGCAAATATTTTGTTAGTGGGATGGATTGTAAAAGACCTGCCTAGTATGGGCCAACAGGCCTGCTGCAGTGTTCCTCCTTTCTTATGTTCTTGTGTTCTAGTAAAGATGGGAATTTTTCAATTTTGTTTACATAATTAAAAGGTTTACAGTACAGAAAACACTGAAAAAGTACAGGAAGACATAAACAGGGTTTTCCAGTGGGCAGTGGAGAACAACATGACATTCAGTGGTGATAGTTCCAGCTGCTTAGATATGAAAAGAATGAAGAACTCAAAAGGAGCACTATATACAAAACTCGAGAGGGTCACCAAATGGAGTGTGAGGAACCTGTAAAAGACGTAGGAATAATTATGTCAGCGGACCTTTCTTTTAAAGGCCATAACCAGACAAAGATCACGTTAGTACTCCCTCACTTAGAATATTGCTCAGTGCTGATGGCCCCGTTCAGGGCAGGAGAGATATCTGAGCTGGAACAAATAGAGATTGTTTACGGCTCACATTGAGCCTGTAAAGCACCTAAACTACTGGGAACGCCTGCAAGTCTTGAACATGTATTCATTGGAGCGGAGGAGAGGGAGGTACATGATAATACATACCTGGAAGGTACTCGAGGGCTTGGTCCCAAATCTGCACACTGCCATAAGAACATGCTGGAGTGGGAGATCTGGAAGGAAGTGTAAAATAAACCCAGTGAGGAGCAGGGGTGCGGTGGGGACAATAAGGGAACACTGTATCAATGTCTGGGGTCCCAGACTGTTCAACATCTTACCAGAAGATACCAGAAACATGGCTGGAACCAGTGTAGAAGCCTTCAAGAGGAAACTGGACAAGTATCTTCACCAGGTGCCAGATCAGCCAGGCTGTGATGGATATGTGGGGAGCAGGCCTCCAGCAGCAACAGCCTGGTTGACAAGGCAAGCACCAGATGAACCTGACCCATGACCGGGCTCAGAGAGTAGGTAAACTCTCGAAACTCTTCAAAGGTATCAAAGGTATACTCAATCACTGATGACTCAGAGTTGCAACGGACTCTCTGACTGGTATGCTTACCTAAATAATATATATTAGAGCTGATTTCCTCTATTCTGTTAATTAAAATACACAGTACATACACTACTGTATAAACTTGCTTTCTTTCAACAAACCTGTTGTATCCCACCAAGGCAGGGTGGTCCAAAAAGAAAAACTAAAGTTTCTCTTCTTAACTTTAGTAATATATACAGGAGAAGGGGTTACTAGCCTCTTGCTCCCAGCATTTTAGTTGCCTCGTACAATGCGTGGCTTACAGAAGAAGAATTCTGTTTCACTTCCCCATGGAGATTAGAGGAAATAAACAAGGACAAGAACTAGTAAGAAAAATAGAAGAAACCCCAGAGGGGTGTGTATATATATGCTTGTACATGTGTAGTGTGACCTAAGTGTAAGTGGAAGTAGCAAGATGTACCTGAAATCTTGCATGTTTGAGACAGAAAAAAAGACACCAGCAATCCTACCATCATGTAAAACAATTACTGGCTTCAGTTTTACACTCGCTTGGCAGGACAGTAGTACTTTCCTGGGCGGTTGCTGTCTACCAACCTACTACGTACCTTGGTACTGTATAAACATTTAAATATATACCAGAAATGTTATAAATGGTGCAAGGGTGACAAAACAATATCAAAGATGGTTGACACAAACTCACTACTTAAGGATTAATTTGCTGATTTGAACCAGGACACTTGTTTGTAGTTTTTTAAATATTATTTTAGGAGTAGTAGGTTGGTAGATAACAACCACCCAGGGAGGTACTACCGTCCTCCCAAGTGAGCGTAAAACGAAAGCCTGTAATTGTTTTACATGATGGTAGGATTGCTGATGTCTTTTGTCTGTCTCATAAATATGCAAGATTACAGGTATGTCTTGCTACTTCTACTTACACTTAGGTCACACTACACATACATGTACTGTGAAGGCTTACTCAGCCCTGTAAAAACTTCAGACAATATTACCAAGGCTGGCTCCTCCTCAGGAAAATTAATGAATAGAAAACGAAATAATAATTCACAAAGATAAACACTTCATTATTTATTAAAGTAAACATAAAACAATAAAACATGAAAGGTATATCCTATTTGAAAGAAAAATAAAAAATGAAATGAATAAAATAACATTTGAACTCAACGCTAATATATGGATATTGGGGTGTCTGGTGTTGGTGACACTGCTGGTTGTTGAAATCGTAGCAGTTGCTGATGATGGGGGTCGCAGGTGTTGGTTACAACCCACCGGTTCGTTCTTCACAGTATAGCCGTGAGTATTCTAACCCGATGACAGGAAAGCAGGTTCTTTACCGCGGCAATGATGAGGGGTTACGTCCTGCAATTTCATACAGGTGCACAGGTAATTAAATCCAAAAAGGGGAAGTCTCAGGACGTTGGTCCATCTCCATCAATTCTACTCGTTGATTGGCAGGTGACCCTCTTTGTCATCCAAGAGTAGTGCTGGGAGCTGTGAGTCTAGTGATTACTGTTTGGACCGGAGCCCCACCGTCACCTTTCGGGGGGGGGAAGAAGGAGGGGAAGGGATAGCTGGAGCTAGACTGACCCTACCTTAACAAGCAGCCGGCAATCAAACTATCACTTTCAGGGTGGGGGAAAAAAGGCGGGAATAGCGGGAGCGTGACTTACCCTACCTTAACAAGTAGCCGGCAATGAAACTATTGTTACTATATACTCCCTCGCTTCTCCTATCTATTGAACTTTTCCCTCACATGTACACATTTATTTATACACACTCATCTGAGTTTTCTTTGATTTTATCTTAATAGTTCTTGGTCTTGTTACTTTTCCTTTTATATCCATGGGGAAGTGGAATAAGAATCTTTCCTCCGTAAGCCATGCATGTTGTAAAAGTCAACTAAAATGCCGGAAACAATGGGCTAGTAACCCCTTTTCCTGTAATTACTAAAAAGAATAAGAAGAAGAAAATTGTCAAAGTGGGAAGTCTGAATGTGCGTGGATGTTGTGCAAATGATAAGAAAGAGATAATTGTGGATGTTATGAATGAGAAGAAGCTGGATGTCCTGTCTTTAAGTGAAACAAAGCTGAAGGGGGTGGGAGAGTTTCAATGGAGAGGAATAAATGGGATTAGGTCAGGGGTTCCAAATAGAGTTAGAGCTAAAAAAGGAGTAGCAATAATGTTGAAGGATAAGCTACGGCAGGAAAAGAGGGACTATAAATGTATTAATTCAAGGATTATGTGGAGTAAAATAAAGATTGGATGTGAAAAGTGGGTTATAATAAGCGTGTATGCACCTGAAGAAGAGAGAAGTGTAGATGAGAGAGAGAGATTTTGGGAAATGTTGTGTGAATGCGTGGGGAGTTTTGAATCAAGTGTGAGAGTAATGGTGGTTGGGGATTTCAGTGCTAAAGTGGGTAAAAATGTTATGGAGGGAGTAGTAGGTAAATTTGGGGTGCCAGGGGTAAATGTAAATGGGGAGCCTTTAATTGAGCTATGTGTAGAAAGAGATTTGGTAATAAATAATACATATTTTATGAAAAAGAGGATAAATAAATATACAAGGTATGATGTAGCAATTAATGAAAGTAGTTTATTAGATTATGTATTGGTGGATAAAAGGTTGATGGGTAGGCTCCAGGATGTACATGTTTATAGAGGGGCAACTGATATATCGGATCATTATTTAGTTGTAGCTACAGTTAGAGTAAGAGGTAGATGGGAAAAGAGGAAGGTGGCAACAACAAGTAAGAGGGAGGTGAAAGTGTATAAACTAAGGGAGGAGGAAGTTTGGGTGAGATATAAGCGACTATTGGCAGAAAGGTGGGCTAGTGCAAAGATGAGTAGTGGGGGGGTTGAAGAGGGTTGGAATAGTTTTAAAAATGCAGTATTAGAATGTGGGGCAGAAGTTTGTGGTTATAGGAGGGTTGGGGCAGGAGGAAAGAGGAGTGATTGGTGGAATGATGAAGTAAAGGGTGTGATAAAAGAGAAAAAGGTAGCTTATGAGAGGTTTTTACAAAGCAGAAGTGTTATAAGAAGAGCAGTGTATATAGAGAGTAAAAGAAAGGTAAAGAGTGGTGAGAGAGTGCAAAAGGAGAGCAGATGATAGAGTGGGAGAGGCACTGTCAAGAAATTTTAATGAAAATAAGAAAAAATTTTGGAGTGAGTTAGACAAATTAAGAAAGCCTAGGGAAAGTATGGATTTGTCAGTTAAAAACAGAGTAGGGGAGTTAGTAGATGGGGAGAGGGAGGTATTAGGTAGATGGCGAGAATATTTTGAGGAATTTTTAAATGTTAAGGAAGAAAGAGAAGCAGTAATATCATGCACTGGTCAGGGAGGTATACCATCTTTTAGGAGTGAAGAAGAGCAGAATGTAAGTGTGGGGGAGGTACTTGAGGCATTACGTAGAATGAAAGGGGGTAAAGCAGCTGGAACTGATGGGATCATGACAGAAATGTTAAAAGCAGGGGGGGATATAGTGTTGGAGTGGTTGGTACTTTTGTTTAATAAATGTATGAAAGAGGGGAAGGTACCTAGGGATTGGCGGAGAGCATGTATAGTCCCTTTATATAAAGGGAAAGGGGACAAAAGAGACTGTAAAAATTATAGAGGAATAAGTTTACTGAGTATACCAGGAAAAGTGTACGGTAGGGTTATAATTGAAAGAATTAGAGGTAAGACAGAATGTAGGATTGCGGATGAGCAAGGAGGTTTCAGAGTGGGTAGGGGATGTGTAGATCAAGTGTTTACATTGAAGCATATATGTGAACAGTATTTATATAAAGGTAGAGAAGTTTTTATTGCATTTATGGATTTAGAAAAGGCATATGATAGAGTGGATAGAGGAGCAATGTGTCAGATGTTGCAAGTATATGGAATAGGTGGTAAGTTATTAAATACTGTAAAGAGTTTTTATGAGGATAGTGAGGCTCAGGTTAGGGTGTGTAGAAGAGAGGGAGACTACTTCCCGGTAAAAGTAGGTCTTAGACAGGGATGTGTAATGTCACCATGGTTGTTTAATATATTTATAGATGGGGTTGTAAAGGAAGTAAATGCTAGGGTGTTCGGGAGAGGGGTGGGATTAAATTTTGGGGAATCAAATTCAAAATGGGAATTGACACAGTTACTTTTTGCTGATGATACTGTGCTTATGGGAGATTCTAAAGAAAAATTGCAAAGGTTAGTGGATGAGTTTGGGAATGTGTGTAAAGGTAGAAAGTTGAAAGTGAACATAGAAAAGAGTAAGGTGATGAGGGTATCAAATGAATTAGATAAAGAAAAATTGGATATCAAATTAGGGAGGAGGAGCATGGAAGAAGTGAATGTTTTCAGATACTTGGGAGTTGACGTGTCGGCGGATGGATTTATGAAGGATGAGGTTAATCATAGAATTGATGAGGGAAAAAAGGTGAGTGGTGCGTTGAGGTATATGTGGAGCCAAAAAAACGTTACCTATGGAGGCAAAGAAGGGAATGTATGAAAGTATAGTAGTACCAACACTCTTATATGGGTGTGAAGCTTGGGTGGTAAATGCAGCAGCGAGGAGACGGTTGGAGGCAGTGGAGATGTCCTGTTTAAGGGCAATGTGTGGTGTAAATATTATGCAGAAAATTCGGAGTGTGGAAATTAGGAAAAGGTGTGGAGTTAATAAAAGTATTAGTCAGAGAGCAGAAGAGGGGTTGTTGAGGTGGTTTGGTCATTGAGAGAGAATGGATCAAAGTAGAATGACATGGAAAACATATAAATCTATAGGGGAAGGAAGGCGGGGTAGGGGTCGTCCTCAAAAGGGTTGGAGAGAGGGGGTAAAGGAGGTTTTGTGGGCAAGGGGCTTGGACTTCCAGCAAGCGTGCATGAGCGTGTTAGATAGGAGTGAATGGAGACGAATGGTACTTGGGACCTGACGATCTGTTGGAGTGTGAGCAGGGTAATATTTAGTGAAGGGATTCAGGGAAACCGGTTATTTTCATATAGTCGGACTTGAGTCCTGGAAATGGGAAGTACAATGCCTGCACTTTAAAGGAGGGGTTTGGGATATTGGCAGTTTGGAGGGATATGTTGTGTATCTTTATATGTGTATGCTTCTAAACTGTTGTATTCTGAGCACCTCTGCAAAAACAGTGATAATGTGTGAGTGTGGTGAAAGTGTTGAATGATGATGAAAGTATTTTCTTTTTGGGGATTTTCTTTCTTTTTTGGGTCACCCTGCCTCGGTGGGAGACGGCCGACTTGTTGAAAAAAAAAAATTTTGATGATAAAATTAAACTACTAATATTAATAATGCCCATTTTTATTAGAAATGTGCGAGCCTAGAATGCACCAGGATGAATTTTACCAGAGACCTGCCCTTCCACATAGCGGAGATGAGACATGTGACTTCTGCCAGGCTATAGTACAACACTGGCGAGACATTCTCATTGCAAACACTACAGAACAAGAATTCAAGCAGGTGTGTTACACTACTTGTTTATTGGCAAGTTGCAGAATATATAGTCTTCAGTATCAAAGATATTTCTGAAACTTTTTAATTGTTATAGCAGGTAATTTTTAAATAGAAACAAACAAGCAATGATTAAATTTTTCACTTAAATTTTTTTAATAATTTAGTCAGTCTAGGTTGTCTCTACTACTGATGGAAATATAAAGGCTCCAGTGACAGTAGGTCACTTTGACCTTTTTTTGGTTATTCTATGTAATTTACACATTACTATGTATGACAATTGTACGTGTGTGTACCTGTACCTAAATAGACTTGTGAAAATAATTCCCTTTTTCAGATTTTGGAAGGTCTTTGCCGTCAGACTGGCAAATTCAGCAAGAACTGCCTTTCACTTGTGGAAGAATACTATCTGCCTCTTTACAACCTTTTGGTGTCAGAAATCCACCCAAAAGAAATTTGTGCAGCTGTTGGACTTTGTGGTGCCAACTCTGTATTTGCTGTGGAGGTATGTACAGTACTGTATAATATTTTGAAATGATGAGCTAGGAGTTGACATAGTTTGTTGTCATAGATAATAAGGCCAGGGATAGGGGTCATCCAAGAAAAGGTTGGAGGGAGGGAGCGAAGAAGGTTTTGTATGTGGGTTTTTTTTTTTTTCTGTCTGTCTCTGTGCGTGTCTCTCTCTCTCTCTCTCTCTCTCTCTCTCTCTCTCTGTCTCTGTCTCTGTCTCTCTGTCTCTCTGTCTCTGTCTCTGTCTCTCTGTCTCTGTCTCTCTGTCTCTGTCTCTCTGTCTCTGTCTGTCTCTGTCTATCTCTGTCTCTCTCTAGTCTCTCTCTATCTCTATCTCTCTATCTCTATCTCTGTCTATCTCTCTCTCTATCTCTCTCTCTCTAAGGAGTGAGTGGAAGTAATTGATTTTTATGACTGTGCTGTTGGAGTGTGAGCAAGGTAACATTTGTGAAGGGATTCAGGGAAACTGATTAGTTGGACAACCCCAGCCCAGCCTTCCCTCCACTACAGATTTATACACCCTCTAGTAATCCTGTTTTCCTCCATCCTCTCCCAACGACCAAACCACCTCAACAACCCATCCTCATCCCCCTGGACAATACTTTTAGTAACTCTGCTCTTCCTAATCTCCACACTACGAATTCTCTGCATAATATTTACATCACAGTCTGTAAGTTTGTCCTTGCTTCTGTGAATATCAAACAGTTTCTTAGCACCATATTTTTCACCTGTACCAAAGATGCCAGACTCCGCCTTCTTCATTGGTTCACATTTCTGTTTAACACTTGAGAACCACAAGAGAGGTTTTATTGTGCTATTATATTTTGTATCACAGAGAGGTAAATCTGAAAACCTAATTTTAATACTGTTTAGCAAAAGTTTTGTTTACATGGAAAATATATAATGGTTGAAAACTGCACATGAAGTATAATATTCAAGCTATTCTAGTGTGGAAAGTTTAATTTGATAATTTTAGCTTACATGTTTTGAATGAATACAAGTTTTTACTTTTTCTTCAGGTAGCCTAAATTACAGGTTTTTATTTATATTTATAGTTTTTTTTTTTTTTTTTATAAATAGAATGTCTTAACTTATTTTTTCTAGCATCCTGTATGGACATTGCTTGATGTCCACCAGCCAGACACTGTAGCCCAGACTCCTCTAGTAGCTGCTGTCAGGGTTGATGTGGAACCTGGTAATAGATTGACAGGTGGTGACGAGGCAGCTGCTATCAACTCTGAGCGAGAGCAACAACGCCCACACTTGCCACGTGTACCTCTTGTTAGGAATGGAATTGGTAATGTGTATTTCTAAAATTTTTATAGACAGATACTGACTGATTGACTGTGAATGTTCCTTTCTCTTGGTCACCCTACTTTAGTGGAAAACTGCAGATGTGGTAAAAGAAGGTATAAATGGGTAATTGTTATAGAACAGTTATTATTTTTTTTTTTTTTATTATTATCACACTGGCCGATTCCCACCAAGGCAGGGTGGCCCGAAAAAGAAAAACTTTCACCATCATTCACTCCATCACTGTCTTGCCAGAAGGGTGCTTTACACTACAGTTTTTAAACTGCAACATTAACACCCCTCCTTCAGAGTGCAGGCACTGTACTTCCCATCTCCAGGACTCGAGTCCGGCCTGCCGGTTTCCCTGAATCCCTTCATAAATGTTACTTTGCTCACACTCCAACAGCACGTTAAGCATCAAGTATTAATAAAGCTGTCATTACAGTACAAAAATTTTCTATACGTAGATTTTCAGTGATTGCAAATTTTTTCCTTCCCTTGTGCTTTTTGTTTTAGTTGTTTCATTCTTGCTGCTTTTCTTGCATTTTTTTCAACATGCAGGCTGTCTCCCACTGAGACGGTGACCCAATAAAGAAAGTGCTTTCATCATCATTCACACATAATCAGTCCTTCTTTGCAGAGGGCATGCAGAATGACCGCTCAGATGTCACTCAACTGCAAATATTTCCCGCCCATCCCCTTTAAATTGCAGGGATTGATACTCCCCCCCCTCCAGGACCAATTTTTTTAAAAACTATAGTAATCCTCATGTCATACCATATTTAAATTTTTTTGCATAAATTTAAATATATAACACTTAGACATTGCAGTGTGTATTTTTATAGATGGGAAGTGGGAAAGAATCCTTCCTCAAATCAAGCTATGCATACATAAGAGGTGACCTGAATGTCCAGGAGCAAAGGTCTAGTAACCCCTTCTAATCAAATATTAAATGTAAAAAGAAAAAAATGTTTGTTTTTCTTTTTGGGTCACCTCTGCTTTGGTGGGAGGCAGATGGTACGTTGAAAAAAATATATATACAGGAAGTCTGCCTTTCAGAATCTCCTGAAAAGTAAAGTAGTATTAAAGGGTCTCTTATAGACAAGTACATACATGTTAATTACAATCTGCCCATTCTTTTTTTGTGCGTGTGTGTGCATGTGTGTGTGTGTGTGTGGTGTGTGTGTGTGTGTGTGTGTGTGTGTGTGTGTGTGTGTGTATGTATGTATGTATGTATGTATTTCATATGTAAGTTTTTGCTCAGAATATTAACCCTTTCAGGGTTTCGGCCATACTAGTACGGCTTACACACCAGGGTCCATGACGTACTAGTGCTCATAAATTCTAGCGCCTTCAAATCTAGTGAGAGAAAGCTGGTAGGCCTACATATGAAAGAATGGGTCTATGTGGTCAGTGTGCACAGTATAAAAAAAATCCTGCAGCATACAGTGCATAATGAGAAAAAAAAAACTTTGACCGTGTTTTTGGATTAAAACAGCAACTTTGCACTATATTTTCGTATGGTATTTATTGTTGTATTCTAGTTTTCCTGGTCTCATTGTATAGAATGGAAGACATATTACAGAAATTGAGATGATTTTGACTGGTTTTACAATGAAAAGTACCTTGAAATTGAGCTCAAAGTGGCAGAAATGTTCAATTTTTACCAAAGTTCAAAAGTAAACAAATCATGCTAAGTGTCCAATACACGTCAACTGCTGAGTCTAATATTCTTTCACAAGTGTGCTGATATTATTTATACCATTTCTACACTAATGCAGTAGTCTGCATAACAGTAAATCTTCTATTTTTTTGTGAGAATAAAGATTCCAAGTGGAAAGCAAAAGAAATGTAAGAGGGGCCTGGGGACATGACTAATGAACAGAGGAAATGTTATTTTAGTGCCAGGAATGTCTCTTGTTTATTCTGGACCCTATTTGGAAATTGGCATCTTTTGAAATTTGTGTAAAATTGGCAAAATTGCTAAATTCTAACCATTGTATTGGATAGTTGAAATCGGTAAATTGGTGGTTTCTTGTACTCATTCGATAGAAAAAATGGAATTCTAGCGAAATAGTTATGATTTTTGTCGACTAGTACATTGGAATTGGCCGAAAATAGGGCTCAAAGTGGGCAAAACCGCCGGTGCGTAAACATCGTCGAGACCGCTAACTTCGCGAGAGCATAATTCCGTAAGTTTTCCATTAAATTTCATACTTTTTGTCATTATGATCGGGAAAAGATTCTCTATCTTTTCATAAGAAAAAATTTTTTTTTTTTTTAAATTTGGGAGACCCTGAGAACAAGTCTCTGAGAGGGCCTGTGGACCCTGAAAGGGTTAATACTTATGTTGCTTATCTATAATATGTAATTTTGCTTGAAAGTGAAGCGCATTTTTATTATGAAAACAGTAAAGTGGATTCATTTTTTTTCTTGTCTGTTATGTCTGTTTATTCTTAAAAGCATTAATTAAAAAGATGCAATCAGCATGATTACCATTTCCTGTAACTAGTGCTCTCCAGCTTTTGAAACCACCAGTGAATGAGAGGCAGTTCTGGAAGTGGTTTCTTGTGTTTAACCTCACTGACACCAGTTGCTGAAAATAGCCAGTATGTATTTCCCTTGCTACAAATAAGTTAATAACAATAGTGAGAGAATTATTGTGGCAGGGAATCTGAATACTGGAGTGGGAGAAACAGTTATAGAGGGTGTGGTAGGTAAGTTTCAGATGCCAGGGGTAAATGATAATTGGGGGGGCCTTTGATTGAACTTCTTATAGAAAGAGGTTTGATAATAGGTAATATGTACATATTTCAAGAAAAAAAGGATAAGTATACAAGGTATGATACGGGGCATAATGACATTTGTTAGACTATGTATTGGTAGAAGGCTGATGGGTAGACTTTAGGATGTGTGTGTTTATAGAGGGGCCACAGATATCCGATTATTTTTTTAGTTGTGTCTACCTTGAGAGCAAAAGGTAAATGGGATACAAGGAGAATGGTATCAGCAGGTGAAAGAGGTGAAGGTTTATAAACTAAAAGAGAAGGTAGTTAGGGTAAGATATAAACAACTACTGGAAGAAAGATGGGCTAGTGAGAGTATAGGCAGTAAGGTTGTAGAGGTAAGAGATAGATTTAAGAATGTAGTGTTCAGCAGAAGTGTGTGGTTACAGGAAAGTGGGCGCAGGAGAGAAGAGCGATTGGTGGAATGATGAGGTTAAGAGTAATAAGAGAGAAAAAGTTAGCATATGAGAGGCTTTAACAAAATGAAAGTGATATAAGGAGGGAGGAGTATATGGAGAAAAAGAGAGACTAAGAGTGGTGAAGGAATGTATAAGGAGAGAAAATGACAGAGTGGGTGAGATGCTATCAACAGATTTTGTTGAGTATAAGAAAAAGCTTTGGAGTGAGATTAATAAGGAATGAATGGATGAATGGATCTGACATGTAAAAATAGATTAGGAAAGTTATTCGATGGAGAGTTGGAGGTATCAGAAAGATAGAGGGAATATTTTGAGGAACTGTTAGATGTTAATGTAGGTAGGGAGGCTATGATTTTCGTGCATTGGGCTGGGATGTATAACATCTTGTAAAAGTGAGGCAGAGCCAGATGTGAGTGGGAGAGGTGCATGAGGTTGTGTGCAGTTGGGATTGATGGGATCAAGACAAAAATGTTAAAAGCAGGTGGTGGTATGGTTTTGGAATGGTTAGTGCTTTTATTCAATAAATGTATGAAAGAGGGGAAGGTACCTAGGGATTGGCAGAGAGCATGTATAGTTCCTTTGTATAAAGGCAAAGGGGACAAGAGAGAGTAAAAATTATAGGTGAATAAGCCTGTTGATTATACCTGGTAAGGTGTATAGTAGTTATTATGAAAGAATTAAGAGCAGGATTGCAGATGAACAAGGTGACTTTAGGAAGGGTAGGGGGTATGTAGACCAAGTGTTTACAATGAAGCATATAGGTGAACAGTACATATTTAGATAAGGGTAAAGAGGTTTGTTGCATTTATAGATTTGGAAAAGGCATACGATTGGGTGGATAGGGAGCAATGTGACAGATGTTGCAAGTGTATGGCATAGGTGGTAGGTTACTGACAGCAGTTAAGAGTTTTTAGTAGGATAGTGAGGCACAGGAAAGAGGGAGATTATTTCCCAATAAATATAGGCATTAGACAAGGATGCTTGATGTTACTATGGTTGTTCATTATATTTATAGCTGGGGTTGTAAGAGAAGTGAATGCTTGAGTGTTGAGATGAGGTGTGAAATTGAGAGAAAGAATCTAACAGAGTGGGAGTTTACACAGCTGCATTTTGCTGATTACACTGCTTTTGGGAGATTCTGAAGAGAAGTTGCAGAGGATGGTAGACGAGTTTGGAAGGGTATGTAAAAGAAGGAAATTAAAAGTGAACATAGGAAAGAGCAAGGTGATGAGGATAACAAAAAATTTAGATAATAAAAGATTGGATATCAGATTGGAAGGAGAGAATATGAAGTGAATGTATTTAGATATCTCAGAGTGAACTTGTCAGCAGATGGGTCTACCAAAAATGAGGTGACTCGTAGGATTTTTGAGGGGAAAAAAAAGGTGAGTGATGCACTGAGAAGTCTATTGAGAAAGAGAATGATATCCATGGAATCAAAGAAGGGAGTGTAAGGGAGTATAATGGTACCAATGCTCTCATAGGTGTGATGCATGGGTGGTGAATGGTGCAACAAGAACACTGGAGGCAGTTGAGATGTCATATCTGAGGGCAGTGTGAGGTGTGAATATTATGCAGAGAATTGTAGCTTAGAGATTAGAAGGTGTGGGGTTTCTAAAAGTATTATCCAGAGGGCTGAGGGGTTGTTGATGTGGTTTGGACATATAGAAAGGATGGAATGAAATAGTGACTTAATGTGCTGTTGGAGTATGAGCGATGTAACATTTATGAAGGAATTTGGGGAAACCAGTTAGCCAGACTTGAGTCCTGGAGCACAGTGCCTGTACTCTGAAACGGGGGTTGATATATGTTGCAGTTTTTGAACTGTAGTGTAGGTGCACCTCAGGACTTGGTGATGAAAATGTTCCTTCTTTTTTGGGGTCACCCTATTTTGGTGCAAAACGGCCAATGTACTGATTAGAATTTTTTTTTTTTTTTTACTATATTGGCTGCCTCCCACAAAGGTAGGATGACCCCCCAAAAAGGTAATGCATTAATCATCGTTTATTCAGTATCTGTCTTGCCAGAAGCATACAGACATTTTGATTTAAATGATATTTGGTTATTGGATGATCCCATAAAAAAAAAGCATTGCTTATCCAAGTTTTACAAAGATTCAAACTAGTTTGATATTAGAACCTTGTACTATTGTATTTCTGGTGCTAGTCCTTGGACAGCAGAAATTGTGATATTGAAGGAAGGGGATGACTGAATTTTCATAAAGGTTATATATATAAAAAAATAAATAAAGCTAATGTGGCTGAAGACTAAGTGAATGTCTCATATTAAAATTTTCCTTTTCCATAAAACAGATGTTGTGCCAGTGGGTACAAATGGCATGATTGGTGTTGCTCTTGGCAAGGGCCATGTCAGAGATAACAAGTGTGTCATGTGTGAGTTTGCTCTGCAATTCCTCCAGAACATGCTCGAACAAAAGGACACTCGTGTAAGTATTAAAGAACTAAAATGGAAGTTTCATGGCATAATTTTGGGGAATAATTGCATAATGTACTTTTAAGCATTGTAATACAGCCTCTCCTCACTTAGCGACGTACTCATTTACCAACGCCTCGGACGTATGACGAGCTCTCTGACCAGTATTCATACCTAAATAATGTATATTAGAGCTGATTTCCTCTATTCTGTTTATTTCAATATACAGTACACTACTGTATAAACATTTAATAATATACCAGAAATGTTATAAATGGTGCAAAAGTGACATCAAAGCAATATCAAAGATGTTCGACACAAACTCTACCATTATAGTATGCTCCTCACTTAGTGACATATTCGTTTAACGACGTGGTCTTAGGAACAGAACTCCGTTGTTAAGTGAGGAGAGACTGTTTATGCAAGGAATATTTTTAAGTTGACTTGAGATATTATACTACATGATTATTCTTGAGGATAGTCATAAGAGAAAAAGCATTTTCTCTACTTGCCTATACAGTGGACCCCGGATTACATCGTTATCGGAATACGTAATATTCGGAATAAGTAATTTTTTTTTATTTTGTCAAAATGTTGGCTCTGTGATCATCACTGAATTTAGTAAAAGTCATTTGTCCAGAACGTGTCCACGCGGCATGAGTGACCCCGACACTCCACGTACAGCTAGTGTGCCATTGTTTATCAGTCAGTGAGGATGATCTCACGTGTTTATACGATATATTTTGTATTATTCCATTCTTTTTAGTGCTTGCAACTGCTAAATAAGCCACCATGGGCCCAAAGAAAGTTCCTAGTGCCAGCCAGCCCTTTGGTAAAGGGCTGAGAGAGAGGGGAGAATGTGTCTTTTTCAGCGATTCTACAATTTACGATACTAAAGCAGCACGAGTCGATAAAGGCTATAGCGCCAGCCAGCGATAAAGTGTAGCATTAACAGTCTAACAAGCAAGTTAAGCGAGGTATATAGGGCTACTAATTAACACCGCCACCTCTGCTGCCGCCTTCACCACCACTATGTAAGGCTTATCTTTCAGTGGCTTTTATACACCCAACAACAAACAACACACCACCACTCTTGACATTCTTAATGCCTTATTTTATTAATTCTAGAGTATATATCATATCTCTGTTCTTAATATGGTTTATTATGTCACATTAGATGAATTGTGCTAGATAAATAAGCCGTAGAGCTGATATTAGTGTCATATTGAAGGACTGTCTTGTCCTGTCTCCCAATACAATTCCTAACATATGCCAGAAACAGACCTCTCTGGAACACTTTTTTGAGTGACAGGGATCCAGTGACTCTCAAGCTGGTCCTAGTGGCATTAAAAAACAAAGAAAGGAAGTAACCCAGGATGAGGACTTGGTATATGAAGTCTTTATGGAAGGGGATTCCCCTTCCAAACAATTGTCAACTCCTCCATCCTCTCCCCTCCTCCCTTCTTCCATACATCACCATGTCTTCAATGAAGGTAAGTGTGATGTTATTATTGTTTTATTCTTCATGTATCATTGTTTTCTGTATAGGTAAATATATATTTCATGTAGAAAACTTTTTTTTTTTATATTTTTGGGTGTCTGAAACGGATTAATTGGATTTCTATTATTTCTTATGGGGAAAATTAATTCAGAATTCGTCAGATTCGGGTTTAGTCACTCTCTCTGAAACAGATTAACCGTTTCAGGGTTGGTACTGTACTAGTACGGCTTGCACGCCAGGGTTGGTGCCGTACAAGTACGCATAAATTCTAGCGCCTTCAAATCTAGCGAGAGAAAGCTGGTCGGCCTACATATGAAAGAATGGGTCTGTGTGGTCAGTGTGTGCAGTATAAAAAAAATCCTGCAGCACACTGTGCATAATGAGAAAAAATTAACTGACAGTGTTTTTGGTTTAAAACAGCGACTTTGCTGTGTATTTTCGTATGCTATTTATGGTTGTATTCTAGTTTTCCTGGTCTCATTTTATAGAATGGAAGACATATTACAGAAATTGAGATGATTTTGATTGGTTTAACAAAGAAAAGGATCTTGAAATTGTGCTCAAAATAGCAGAAATGTTCGATTTTTGCTAAAGTTCAAAAGTAAACAAATCGTGCCATGCGTCCACTACACGTCAACTGGTGAGTCTAATATTCTTTCACAAGTGTGCTGATATTATTTATACCATTTCTACACTAATGCAGTAGACTGCATAACAGTAAATCTATTTTTTCTGAGAATAAAAATTCAAAGTGGAAAGCAAAAGAAATGTAAGAGAGGCCTGGGGATGTGAATAATGAACAGAGGAAATGTTATTTTAGTGCTTAGGAATATCTGTCTTGTTTATTCTGGACCCTATTTGGAAATTGGTATCTTTTGAAATTTGTGTGAAATTTGCAACATTGCCACTTTCTGACCACTTTATTGGATACTTGAAATTGGTAAATGAGTGGTTTCTTGTACTCATTCGATAGAAAAAAATGGAGTTCTAGCAAAATAGTTATGATTTTTGTCGACTGGTACGTTGGAATTGGCCAAAAATAGGGCTCAAAGTGGGCGAAATCGACAATGCATAAACATCGTCGAGACCGCTAACTTCGCGAGAGCATAATTCCATAAGTTTTCCATTAGATTTCTTACTTTTGGTGTCATTATGATTAGGAGAGGGCCTGCCGACCCTGAAAGGGTTAATTACAAAAACCTGGGGTCCACTGTAAAGGGAAATACAAATACTATATGTATATCCTATGCCATAATTAACAGATATGGTCGGTTTATTGAAAACAGAATTATCAATTCTCCTTTATAATTAATTTTGCAACTTTATCATTAATTACTCCTTTGCTGAAGACAGTAAATTATTATTTGTAAATAAGCACAGTTTTAATATGTATGGTATAGAATGACAGTGCATTTATAGAAATCCCTTTGACATGTGTAATTAAATACAAAATATTAATGTACAAAACTATGCAAGTGCCTCTTTCTGATGGAGATTACACTTGCAGAAGGACATTGAAGATGCAGTGGAGAAACTGTGTACCATGATGCCTCGTACAATTGCAGAAGAGTGTGAAGACTATGTTGAAGCTTATGGAGACCAAGTTATTGAACTGCTTGCTCAGGAAATTGATCCATCACAGGTTAGAAAAAAAATAAAAAAAAATTTGATAATTATCAAACACTCCAATTATAATTGGAGTGTTTACTGAAATTTATTGCACATTTTAAATTCCTCAGAGCAGTGAGGTTGCTGTTTTTTCTGTGACACATAACTACTTAGAATTGTGGATCTAAGAGAAAATGTTAATAATGGGATACTTTTTTTTTTTTTTTTTTTTCTCTCAACAAGTCGGCTGTCTCCCACCAAGGCAGGGTGACCCAAAAAAGAAAGAAAATCCCCAAAAAGAAAATACTTTCATCATCATTCAACACTTTCACCACACTCGCACATTATCACTGTTTTTGCAGAGGTGCTCAGAATACAACAGTTTAGAAGCATACACATATAAAGATACACAACATATCCCTCCAAACTGCCAATATCCCAAACCCCTCCTTTAAAGTGCAGGCATTGTACTTCCCATTTCCAGGACTCAAGTCCGACTATATGAAAATAACCGGTTTCCCTGAATCCCTTCACTAAATATTACCCTGCTCACACTCCAACAGATCGTCAGGTCCCAAGTACCATTCGTCTCCATTCACTCCTATCTAACACGCTCACGCACGCTTGCTGGAAGTTTAGTATATAGAGCTTTATTATACTTGTGTATGTTTTGGTATTAACATTTTTAATATTTTATAAATGCATCAGATTCTTTAATTTTGTTCTATTACAAAATTCTTGATTTTTTCTAAAAGAAAAACAAAATTTTAAATGTGTTTTGGCATTTTGTGCAAGTAAATCAAAATATCAATAATGGTACTTTAATTTCTCTGGATTTTATCAGACGAATTTTACTTTATTTACTTAAAAGCACAGCTATTTACTACTCAGACCAACTAGAATGTATCACTAATACTTGCACAAAGGATGAACATAGGGAATATATAATAGCTAAATTCAAATCCAAATACCTACAAAAACCTCTCACAGTGATAAACATCTACAGAGTACCACAGTCAAACATTAGCCGTTTTAGTGAAAACCTAGGAAGCATGATAACTGATACACGCATGAACAAAGATCACTTGCTACTCTCAGGTGACTTCATTATAAATCTCCTACAAGACCAAGACCCACATGTTACTGAATTCACAAACAATGAGTGCATGTTGCTACCAACAGTAACAAAACCTACAAGAGTTACAGAGACTAGTGTTTCCCTACTAGACCACATCTGGACCAACACCATATCCCCCTTAAGATCAGGCATAATCACAGATAATACCACAGACCATTACCCTACCTTCCTCATAACAAACCTTGGCAAATTACCCCTAGACACCACTAAAGTCACTTTCAGACTTCACAATGAGGCAGCTAACAATAACTTCACAGCAGCAGTGACAAACATTGACTGGCACACTGAGCTAGAAATCTACACATATATTGACGAATGTATTAATAATTTTCTAAGAAAGACCCAATACCTCTATAACAAGCACTGTCCTAAAAAACTAAACAGATGACTTCAAAGAGACTGAACAGTCCCTGGCTAACACCCAGTATCCTCAAATCCATAAATACAAAGCACCTATACGAAAAACAGTACAGAATGGGCCACATAACCAGAGACCAAAAAAAACGTTACTCGTCAATCCTAACCAGCCTAATAAGAAGGGCTAAAAAATTGTATTATGAGAACAGATTATCCAACTTACGAGGTGACATAAAAAAGACCTGGAAAACCCTATCAGAAATACTAGGAACAAAAAAGATAACACGAAATAGCGAAATTGAATTAACAAAACCAGATGAACCCCAATTCCCACCTACTGAAACAGCAAACAGACTCAATGATTTCTTCTCCACTATAGGAAAAAACCTTGCCAATAAAATCCCAAGCTCAGATACCCCACCCAATGACTACCTCACTGACAACTACCCGAACACACTGTTCCTAGCTCCGACTAACCCAACTGAAGTCTCCCTTATTATCAACAAACTAAAAAACAAGACAGGAGATTTAAATACCTTACCACCCATTATATACAAAAAAGTGTCACAGGTGCTATCACCAATCATTGCAACACTCTTCAACAAATCCATTGAATCCTCTACCTTTCCTACAGTTCTCAAATAAGCAAGGGTCACCCCGATCCATAAAGGAGGAGACCACACAGACTTGAATAACTATAGGCCAATATCCAGCTTACACCCTCTCTCTAAAATCTTAGAAAAATTAATCCATAAGCGTATCTATTCCTACCTCATCTCCCACAACATACTCAACCCCTGTCAATTTGGGTTCAGGCCTAATAAAAATACTAATGATGCTATTATCCACATGCTAGAATATATTTATACAGCAATAGAGAAAAAAGAAGTCCCACTGGGGATCTTCATTGACTTACGTAAAGCTTTCAATACAGTTGACCACGACTTGCTCCACACAAAATTGTCGCACTATGGTATAAGAGGGCACTCCCTCAACTACCTCAAGTCATACCTCAGCAACAGAAGCCAATATGTGTACACAAATGGGGCAAACTCTTCCGCACAGCCAATTACAGTTGGTGTCCCACAGGGAAGCGTCCTAGGCCCTCTTCTCTTTCTCATATACATAAATGACCTACCAAATGCATCGCAACTACTCAAGCCCACACTATTTGCAGATGGCACTACATACGTCTACTCTCACCCGAGCCCAGTCATGCTAGCCAATACTGTAAATACCGAATTACAGAAAATATCAACCTGGATGAGGATCAACAAACTTACTCTAAACATTGACAAAACCTACTACATTCAGTTTGGTAACAGAGCTACAGATGTGTCTCTTAACATAATGATAAATGGATCACCTATCACAAAACTCAGAGGGAAAATTCCTAGGAATCCACCTTGATAAGACTCAAATTTCAAACACACATACAACAAATTTCCCCCCAAAATTTCCAAGACCGTAGGCATACTATCGAAGATACGGTACTATGTTCCACAGTCAGCCCTCCTGGCCCTATATCACTCATTTATTTACCCCTATCTCACCTATGGAATTTGTGCATGGGGCTCAACAACAGTAAACCATCTCAGACCACTAATCACCCAACAAAAGGCTGCAGTCAGAATGATAAATTCCCACTACAGACAGCACACTCCACCAATATTCAAAACTCTAAACCTACTCACAATACAAAACATCCATACTTATTACTGCACCTACTACATACATAGAACACTTAACTCTGACATAAACCCTCCCCTCAAACATCTCCTTGCCAACCTCAATGAACACATGACCATAACACAAGACACAGATCACTCTTTGATGTTCCTCGTGTCCATCGTACGCTATGCAAAACCTCAATGCACATAAAAGGCCCTAAAATCTGGAATTCATTACCTGTGAATATAAAAAAAACACTGTCTGTTTATAAATTCAAGTCTCTTCTCAAAAATCACTTACTCCCCCACAACTAAATAAATACTGAATAATTGTATCTCATAAGTTGTATCTCATATGTCTCATTATTGTCTCTCATAAATGTCAACCTGTGACCCAATCAAACTTTATTACTATTTAACTTCATTACCTAACAGAATACTCCATTCTACTGATTACACAGCACCACAGTAAATGACCATATGACCTGTCTTTGTAATACTCATTTGTACTAAATTGTTATCTGTTTTACAATAATTTTTGTACCACTGAATATATCATTGCTTAGTTAATCTTAAGTTAATTTTAAGCCTGCCCATAATGCTCTGCAAACAAAGGGCTTTGGCATGCTGCACTTTAAAAATTGTATTCCTTGTACTTCTCTGTATCATATTCAAATTAAATAAATAAATAAATACTGATTGTACAGCAGTGCAAGCAACCATACAACCTGTTTTTGTAATACTCATTTGTGCTTAATTGTTATCTGTTTACAATGTTTTACCACTGAATACTTCATTGCTTAGTTAATCTTAAGTTGATTTTAAGCCTGCCCGTAATGCTATGCATTCAAGTGGCTTTGGCATACTGCATTTAACTGTATTCTTTTGTACTTCTCTGTATCATGTGCAAATTAATAAATAAATAAATAATATTGGGTGTGGTAGTATAAATACATTTTCTTGTCAGATTTGTCCCATGATCCACATGTGCCCAGCTGTCTTGATGATGGAAGAGCCCTCCAGTGGTGATGATACATCATGTGTAATGTGCGAGTATGCGTTAACAACACTTGAAAATTATGTGAAGGATGATAAGACAGAGGTGAATATCTGTGCTTTTAAATCTTGAGAGTTTAAGAGTTCCTTGCTAATAGAGAGCATGTACAACTTGAGGCTACCTTGTCAATTTCATGGGTTAGTGCATGTGTGGCCTGGTCCCAGACCATGCCTCAAGTAAGGCAAAAAAAAAAAAAATACATTGTAACTGACCATTTTACAAATAAGCTAATCATCTCTTTGATTTTCAAAGTATTTCTTTCAAAGCTAATTGGAGCTATCATGTATTTAATTATTTTTTCTTTTACTCCTTAGGCACACATTCGGGAGGCTCTTGACCATCTGTGTTCCTTACTGCCCGGAACAGTTACAACAGAATGCCAGACATTTGTTGATAAATATACACAGCAGATCATTCAGATGTTGATAAATGATTTATCTCCTGATGAAGTGTGTATTCAACTGGGACTTTGCAAGCCCAAAGGTCAGTGATGTTCTATATTGCATGTTTTGAAAGTATGTTGATTGGCTTTCATCTTTATTGAAAAAACTACCATTTACTTTCTTCCATTGATGGTTCATTTTCTTGAGAACCACCAACATCATAGGACCACTTAATCCAAGTCTTATTTTTTTTTCTTTTATTCAACAAGTTGACAAATATTACTAGTAGATAAGAAAAGAGGGAAAGGGGGGTTTCCAGGTCACCCTGCCTCGGTGGGAGACAACCAGTGTGTTAAAAGAAAAATGATCTGTGGGTATTTTGTTATTTTTTGTTTTGTTTAGTTTTTAAACCTATTTTTCTCATGGATGTTAATTTTATCCGCAGACTTGCCCAGACTGGATAGTTCACACCAGCTTCCTGTTTCACGCATGTTTGTGTTACCCCATGCCATAGGTAAGTTTGTGATAAACTTAATTCATTTATAACTTCAGTCAACTCTCTTTATCTCAAGATGTTCAGATGTTTTTGTTCCTAAGAAAGTTTCCTGAGTATCTAAAATTGACTATAATTACAAAAGTTAATGTGCAGAAAAATGATGGAATGAAAATAATTGTCTTTGTTGACACACATTTACATATACATATAAATTTACACATCCCTGGAGAAACTGGCTACTTTAGATCTTCATGTAAATACACAACAATACTAGGGTATTTTTTAGTACAGCCTCTCCTCACTTAGCGACATACTCGTTTACCGATGCCTCGGACTTACGACGGGCTCTCTGACCAGTATTCATACCTAAATAATGTATATTAGAGCCGATTTCCTCTATTCTGTTTATTTCGATATACTATAGTACACTACTGTATAAACATTTAAAAATATACCAGAAATGTTATAAATGGTGCAAAGGTGACATTAAAACAATTTCAAACATGGTTGACACAAACTTGCTTAGATATAATAGGGTGAATAGAGGAGCAATGTGGCAGATGTATGAGGTAGGCAGCATGTTAAAAGCTGTAAAAAGTTTTTATGTGGTTAGTGAGGCTCATGGTATGTAAAAGAGAGGGGCACTATTTCCCAGTGAATGCAAGACTTAGATGGATGGGAGAGGTGTTGAATTAAAAGTTGATGGATCTAATACATGGGGAAAATTGTCACACTTATTCTTTGCTGATGACATTTGTTTTGAGAGATTCTAAAGATAAATTTCAAAGGTTGGTGGATGAATTTAGGAAGGTATATTAAAAGAGGGTAACTAAAAGTAAACTTAGGAAAGAGAAAGGTGATGTAACAAAAAATCTAGACGGTGGAAGCTTGAATATCAGCTTGGAGGGAGGGAGTTTGGTGGATGTATTTAGGAATAGAGAAGTCAGCAGATGGGTTTATGTAAAATGCAGTGAATCATAGAGTAGATGAAGAGGTGGAGGGAAAAATGTAGGTAGTGTGTTGAAGTAGCTATGGAAAGTTTGTCTATGGAGGCAAAAAAAAAAAAAAAAAATGGAATGTAATAAGAGTTTAGTGGTTGTGAATAATGGTTCATAAATGTTGCTGCTAGAGGCAGTGGAGATGTCATCTGATACCATTGTTTGGTATGAATATTATGTAGATAATTTGGAGTTTAGAAATTCGAGGAGGGTGTGTGGTCACAAGGGTATAATTCATAGGAAAGGTTGTTGAAGTGGTTAGGGGATTGTGAGGATGGAGAGGGGTAGGATGACAAAGAGGAAGTATAAATCTGGGATGGAAAGTAGGAGAGGTAGGGGTTGAGCATCCAGAAGGCTTGTTTTAGTTTATTAGATTGGAGTGATTGAATACTGTTTTTTTTTTATGGGCATGCTGTTGGAGTGTGAGCAAGGTAGCATTTATGAAGGGATTCATAGAAACCTGTTAGCCAGATTTAAGTCCTATAGTAGGAAAGGCAGTGCCTGCTCTCTGAAGGAGGGGTGGAGTTATTAGTCATAGGGTTACCTGAATCATGATGTCAGTGGTTGAAAGAATGTTACTGAATGTATTTTCTTTTTTTTGGCTCACTACCCTGGTGGGAGGTAAAAAAAAAAAAAAAAAAAAAAAAAAAAAGGTGGGGGGAGGGCATTGATTTAAATCAAAATGAGTATACTCATATTCCTGGAATTGATAGTCTTAATTTAGCTTAAGGATGCCTGTGTAAAATATTTGTTGTAAATTTGTCTTTCTGATACTCATTTCAGATCAGCAAAATAACATTGGGACACCAAGGGTAGGACAGTCTGCTGCATGTGTACTGTGTGAATTCACAATGATACAGATAGACCAGCTTCTCTCAGATAATACTACAGAGGTTTGTAAAAGCACCACAGTGCTGTATTTCAGATTTGAAACATGAGAATTTTTACTTTTGTTTGTGGCACTTCTGGCAAATTTAGAAATGTAACTTTGATAGTGAAGCAGGACTAGATACCATGTGTGATAATTATTCTAAATATATTAATTCAATTTCCTTCATGCTGCTGTTGTCAATTTTTAGAAATGCTATATTTTTTTCAGAATGAAATCATTGAGGTGGTAGACTTCATATGTACCCGCCTGCCAGGAACACTTCAGGACGATTGCATTGGCTTTATTGAGCAGTATGGTGATGCCATTGTCAAGCTTCTAGTTAACCAGCTTAATCCCAAAGTTGTTTGCCAAGAACTTAAACTCTGCAAAGCACCTTCATTCACAGGTATAATTTCTCAGGGTTTTGACATTCAAGAAATATTTTATTGTCATTTATGGCAATAGCTATTAATGTTACTAGCTTTAAAGTGAGCTATCATTGTCATTTGATGGGTAGTTACCTTTTCAATAATTCATCAGCCAAGGTGAAATGTGATCAATTCCGGAGAATTTTTTCATGTGGACTTTCCATTATATTAATTTGCGTGTTTTTTGATCTAGGTAGTAGGTTGGTAGACAGCAACCGCCCAGGGAGGTACTACCGTCCTGCCAAGTGAGTGTAAAATGAAAGCCTGTAATTGTTTGACATGATGGTAGGATTGCTGGTGTCCCTTTTTCTGTCTCATGAACATGCAAGATTTCAGGTACATCTTGCTACTTCTACTTACACTTAGGTCACACTACACATACATGTACAAGCATATATATACACACCCCTCTGGGTTTTCTTCTATTTTCTTTCTAGTTCTTATTCTTGTTTATTTCCCTCTTATCCCCCATGGGGAAGGGGAAAGAATTCTTCCTGTGCCATGCGTGTTGTAAGAGGCGCTAAAATGCCGGGAGAAAGGGGGTAGAAACCCCCTTCTCTGTACATATTACTAAAAAAAAGAAGAAATTTTTCCGTTTTTCCTTTTGGGCCCTCCGCCCGGGGGGATATGGCCGGGGGTTTGAAAAAGAAAAAAAGTGTGTTTTTTGATAATCATTTTAAGGATTTTTTTTATGCAAAAATTTGGGTGTTTGAAAAGGGGAAATAGTCATGATTATTATTCATTATCTGTCTTGACAGATGTGCACAAACACAAATTTCGGTTGATCTAAAACTGTAAATCCCACTCTTTTTTACAGTACAGACAAACAAATTTTCCTGAATATATTTTCATGGAAAATTTGCTTAGCTACAACAGCATATAAAAATCCGGGGGAAAAAGCACTGGTCTCCACCCACTCTGATTTTTCATACTTTTTACGGGGCTGCTGGATGCTGACCCCCACTCAAAACCTTCACTCCCTTTCGTGAAGAATTTGATTAGAGGAATTGACTGGCTTTCCCTTCCTTGGATAAAACTTGATTATCTCCCCCCCTCCCTCTCACCCAAGGGGGAAATATCCCCTGTGGAGTTCTTGTTCCAAGAAATTACATTTTCCCTTTACTCCTGGATCAAAATGATTGGGGGCCCCATGCCCCCATAAATAAAAATAATTATTTACACCTTTTAATTTACTTTTTTTGTTGACTCATCGTCTTTTTTCTACCAAAAATATTTAATAATTTTTCCCATATCCCTTGACCTGACTCTTTAATGCTTCAATCCCTAGTTTTTTCCTTGAAACATTTTTATTTTCTATGTTCACTTTTAATTTTCATACACACTTTCCCGCCCTTATCCAAACTTTCAGAATCTTTCAAAAACTTTTGTATCATCAGCCAAGAACTGTCAGCTTCATTTAATTTCTTGCCCTAAAATTACAAAAATTACTTTGTCCTATTTTTTTTTGTTTAGGTCTGAGGCCCAGTGAATTTTCTTTTGGTAAGTGCCAAGTGTGTAAAGGCTATTAGTTACGTTGATGAAAAGTTGAGGATGGGCTTCCCACTACCATTGTACCATACGGGAAAGAAGTGTGTTGGCTTTTCCCCCCAAAGGAAAGGAACAGGTAAAAATGTAATATTTTGTTGTACATTTTTTAAAATCTGTTTTTAAACGATCTAGGGTGCTCTCCCCAACATTTTGGGTCTTGATAAAGCATGCTGGATGATAGACCCCAGCCCTTTTGAAGTAAGCTTTGTCTGGTTTTTTTATATTAAAAGTCATCATTTTTTCTTCTCCTATTAATTTTGTGAAAATTCTTTTGAAATTTCCTTTGATTGGTACTAGCCTATTTTTTATAATTTGAAGAAATTAGTTAGCCAGCTTGGTTTTTGAGGTGGGACATGTCCCTGCACTCTTTTGGATGGGCGAGTTGTTGTGTTTGGAGGGTATTTTGAACTGTGATAACAGTTCTTTGGCAAAACAATTTTACAAAAGAGGGTGAATGTGTTTCCCCCTTTTTGGTCCCCTCCCCGTGGGAAAGAGTAAAAAAAAAAAAAAGCAAAGGGAATTCAGATTCTTATATAATTTTAAATCCATTTTGAATTAAAGGGGTGTCAAATGATTTCCGCACCAGCTGGAGGAAGGTTGATATTTAAAAGTACCATATAACCATGTTTCATTTTTTTTTTTATGGTCCCCGTTTTTTTTGCACAAATCCTTTCAGGATTTTGCCCCCCCCTCCCCCCCCCCCCCCCCCCCCCAGAATCAAAATTATCGTTTTTTAGGATTTTAAAAGAAAAAGTAAGGAGGGTACTTACCTCACTAAATTTGTCTTTGTTTAAAATTATTACAATGCAAAAATAACCCACACACAAGGAGGAGCCCACAAAAGATGTTTTTTGATCCAACTTACCACGACTTTTCTTGTAAGAAACTTTGTCCTGTTTTGTTCTGTAGATGCCTTCCTTTCCCCCTTTTATTGTAAAATGCCCAAATTCACAAACCGATTAACCCGATTTTTTTTTTCCCCATCTCCCTTTTCCCCTTTTTCTTTCTCCTTTTGGGTTTTCTTTTTTTCCTTGGGTATTTATCTTATTATTTATTTTTTCCCCCCCCGTGTTTTGCTCCTTCTTTGTGGGCATACTGCCGGGGAGTGCTCCCAATAATTTTCTCCCCCCCTCTCCCCCCTCCCCCCTCTCCCCCCTCCCCCCCCCCCCCCCCCCCCCCCTCTCCCTTCCCCCCCCCCCCCCCCCTCTCCCCCCCCCTCCCCTCCCCCCTCCCCCCCCCCCCTCTCCCTCCCTCCCCCTCTCCCTCCCCCCCTCTCCCCCCCTCCCCTCTCCCCTCCCCCTTCCCCTCCCCTCCCTCCCCCCCTCCTCCTCCCCTCCTCCTCCTCCCTTCCCTCCCCTCCCTCTCCCTCCCCTCCCTCTCCCTCCCCTCCCTCCTCCCCTCCCCCCTCCCTCTCCCTCCCCCTCCTCCCCCCTCCCCCTCCTCCCCCTTCCCCCCTCCCCCTCCTCCCCCTCCCCTCCCCCTCCTCCCCCTTCCCCCCTCCTCCCTTCCCCCTCCTCCCTCTCCCTCCTCCTCCCTCTCCCTTCCTCCTCCCCCTCCTCCTCCCTCTCCCCCCCCTCCTTCTCCCTCCTCCCCCTCCCCCCTTCCTTCTCCCCTCTCCCCCCCCCCCCCTCCCCCCCCCTTTTCCTCCTCCCTCTCCTTCCTCTCCATTATTACTACTATTATTATGTCCTTTTTTGCCCCATCCCTGTCTGCTGGCCTATTTTTATCCCCCCTCTAATTTTGTATGGTGTGTTTGTAAATGACCCAAAACCGGCCCCAAAATAGTCGTGGGGGCTCCTCTTTTCTGTGGGGGTTATCTGTGTATGTTTCAGTCACAGTATTGAAACCCCCCCCCCCCCCCCCCAACATTTTTATATACAAATTGCTCAAACAAGCATTTTCCCCAATATGTGAAAAAAAGACAAATGTGATGCTGTTTGTTAAGTAGAAGATGGGTCTTTAGCTTAAATTTATAGACAAATAAGTCTGTTTCTTTGTATGGGTATGAAGTTTGGGGTTGTGATGCGCAGTGAGGGGGGGTTTGGGAGGAATGGAGTGTCTGTAAAGGGCAATGTGTGGTGTAAAATGTGCAGAAAATTCAGAGTGTGGAAATTGGTGGGGATTTAATAAAAGTATTGTCAGAGGGGTTGTTGAGGGGGTTTTGGTCATTTGAGAGAAGGAAAAAGTAAAATGACATGGAGGCTTATAAATCTGTAGGGGAAGGGGTGGGTAGGGGTCGTGTCGAAAAGGTTGGAGGGAAGGGGGGGGAAAGGTTTTGTGGGCGAAGGGCTTGGACTTCCCGAAGCAGCGTGAGCGTGTTAGGAGACGAATGGTTTTTTGGGAAACCGTGAGCTGTTGGAGTGGAGAGGGTAATATTTTTGTGAAGGGATTAGGGAAACGGGTTTTTTTTATTAGCCGGACTTTAGTTGGTTGTGAGTACAATGCTGCCTTTAAAAGGGGGGCACCTCTGCAAAAACAGTGTTATGTACGAGTGAGGTGAGTGTTGAATGGTGAAAGTATTTTCTTTTTGGGTCACTCTGCCTCATTGGAGTGGCCGGACTTGTTTAAAAAAAAAAAAAAATTAAATTGGGGAAAGATAAAAAAAATTTAATAAGGAGGCATTCGAAGCTCCCTTAAAGGATTAATTTTAATGGATGAAAAAAACCCTTTTGTTCACAAAAACTATAAAAAAAGCATAGGCGAGAAAAAATAGGGGACATCCAGCAAGCAGTTTGGGATGATACAAAAAATAAGTTATCAATAATTTCGATGAGTACGGGTTGATCTGGATGGGTAATGTATGTGGGAAATGACAGAGTATTTTAATATGGATGTGAGTGTGGGGAGGTGCTGGGGGATGTAGAATGAAAGGGGGAAAAGCAGTGAACTGACAGGTCATGAAGAAATTTTAAAACGGGGGGGATATAGTTTTGGGAGGGGTGGTATTTTTTTTTAAAGAATGTATGAAGAGGGGAAGGTCCCTAGGGATTGGCAGAGAGCATGCATGCCCTTTAAAAAAAGGGGAAGGGGGAAAAAAAAGTGATTGAAAAAATTAAAAAGGAATAAGTTTATGAGTATACCGGAAAAGTGTGGGTGGGTTATGATTGAAAAAATTAGAGGTAAGCAGAAAGTAGGATTGCGGATGGAAGGAGGGTTTTAGAGTGGGTAGGGGTGTGTAGATCAAATGTTTACTTGAAGCATATATGTGACGTATTTTGTAAAAGGGAGGGAAGTTTTTTTTTGCATTTATGGATTAGAAAAGGCAATTTTATAGGTGGATAGGGGAGCAAATGTGGCGATGTTGCAAGTACGTATTGGAAAAAAAGGGGTAAGTTAATAAATGCTGTAAAAAAGTTTTTTTGGGATGGTCAGGTTTTGGGGTGTGTGAGAGGGAGATAATCCCCGTAAAGTAGGCCCTTGACAGGGATGTGTAATGTCCCAAGGTTGTTTAATAATTTTTAGATGGGGTTGTAGAAGAAATAAATGCTAGGGTGTTCAGGAGAGGGGTGGGATTAAATTAAGGGGAATTAAATACAAAATGGGAATTGACACAGTTGCTTTTTGCTGATGATACCGTGCTTATGGGAGATTCTAAAGAAAAATTGCAAAGGTTAGTGGATGAGTTTGGGAATGTGTGTAAAGGTAGAAAGTTGAAAGTGAACATAGATAAGAGTAAGGTGATGAGGGTACCAAATGATTTAGATAAATAAAAATTGGATATTAAATTGGGGAGTAGGAGTATGGAAGTGAATGTTTTCAGATACAGTGGACCCTCGCCTAACGAACGCATCGCATAACGTTAAATCCGGCTAGCAATACATTTTAACGCAAAAAATTTGCCTCGGCTAGCACTAAAAAACTCGCCCAACGTGATTCGTTCCGTTCGAGACACGTCCACTTGCGGCCTGAGCACGCCTCGCTTGTCCCGTGGGTGCCAGTGTTTACAAGCCAGCCACCGTGGTCACATCCAAACATACAATCGGAACATTTCATATTATCGTTTTTAGTGATTGCACGTGCAAAATAAGTCACCATGGGCCCCAGGAAAGCTTCTAGTGCCAACCCTACAGCAAAAAGGGTGAGAATTACTATGGATATGAAGAAAGAGATCATTGCTAAGAATAAAAGTGGAGTGCGTGTCTCCGAGCTGGCCAGGTTGTACACAAAACCCCAGTCAACCATCGCTACTATTGTGGCCAAGAAAACAGCAATCAAGGAAGCTGTTCTTGCCAAAGGTGCAACTTTGTTTTTGAAACAGAGATCGCAAGTGATAGATGATGTGAGAGATTTGTTATTGGTGGGGAAATAAACGAAAAAACAGATAGCAGGAGATAGAATCACTCAAGTGATCATATGTGAAAAGGCTAGGAAGTTGCATGACGATTTAATTAGAAAGATGCCTGCAACTAGTCGTGATGTGAGTGAATTTAAGGCCAGCAAAGGTTGGTTTGAGAGATTTAAGAATCTTAGTGGCATACATAGTGTGATAAGGCATGGTGAGGCTTCCAGTTCGGACCAAAAAGCAGTTGAAAAATATGTGAAGGAATTCAAGGAGCACATAGACAGTGAAGAATTGAAACCTGAACAAGTGTTTAATTGTGACGAAACAGGCCTGTTTTGGAAGAAAATGCCAAGCTGGACCTACATTACTGAGGAGGAAAAGGCACTCCCAGGACATAGGCCTATGAAAGACAGGCTTACTCTGTTGATGTGTGCTAATGCTAGTAGTGATTGCAAAGTGAAGCCTTTATTGGTGTATCACTCTGAAACTTCCAGAGTGTTCAGGAAAAAAATGTCCCCAAGGCTAATTTGTGTGTGATGTGGAGGGCAAACAGTAAGGCATGGGTCACTAGAGACCTTTTCTATGACTGGTTACACTATGCATTTGCCCCCAGTGAAAAATTCCTTTCCCGGAAATAAATTGGACTTAGGTGCCTCCCGGTATTAGACAATGCTCCCGGTCATCCTTCAGACTTGGCAGAGCGACTTTTTGGGGACATGAGCTTCATTAAGGTCAAGTTTTTGCCTCCTAATACCAATCCTTCTTGCAGCCCATGGACCAGAGGTCATTGCAACTTCAAAAACTCTACACAAAAGTATGTTTGAAAGGTGCTTTGTAGTGACGACAGAAACTCAATTGACTCTAAAAAGAGTTTGGAGAGATCACTTTAGCATCCTCAATTGTGTAAACCATTATAAGGTAAGCTTGGGAAAGGAAATGACTAAGAGGACCCTTGAACTCTGTTGGAAAAAACTGTGGCCAGAATGTGTAGCAAAAAGGATTTGAAGGATTTGATGTAACCCTGAGAAGCCTATTCCATTATGAATCGTTTTGGCATTGGGGAAGTCCTTGGGGTTGGAGGTTAGTGGGGAGGATGTGGAAGAGTTGGTGAGGGGACAATGAAGAACTAACCCCCTGTGAGCTTGCAAGATCATCTTCAACAGCAGAGGCCCAGACCTGAGGAAAACTGCTCCGAGGAGGGGATAGAGAAGTTGAGGAAAATTGCCTACTTCAAAGATTAAGGAAATGTGTGCAATGTGGCTTAAAGTGCAAACCTTTTTTGATGAAAATCACCCTCACACAGCTATTGCAAGTCGTGCTGGTGACTATTACACTGACAGTGTTGTGAAGCACTTTAGGAATGTCATAAAGGAACGGGAGGTACAGGTCTCTATGGACAGATGTGTTGTGCGACAGAAGTCCAGTGACTCTCAAGCTGGTCCTAGTGGCATTAAAAGAAGGGAAGTAACCCCGGAAAAGGACTTGACATCTCAAGTCCTAATGGAAGGGGATTCCCCTTCTAAACATTAACACCATCCACACACTCCCCTCCTCCCATCCCATCAGTCATCACCAGATCTTCAATAAAGGTAAGTGTCATGTAATTGTACATGTCTTCTTCAGTTTGTGTATATTTAAATTAATATTTCATGTGGTGAAAATTTTTTTTTTCATACTTTGGGGCATCAGAAACGGATTAATTTGATTTCCATTATTTCTTATGGGGAAAATTAATTCGGCTAACGATAATTTCGCCTAATGTTGAGCTCTCAGGAATGGATTAATATCGTTAGGCGAGGGTCCACTGTACTTGGGTGTTGACGTGTCGGCAGATGGATTTATGAAGAATGAGGTTAATCATAGAATTGATGAGGGAAAAAAGGTGGGTGGTGCATTGAGGTATATGTGGAGACAAAAAACGTTATCTATGGAGGCAAAGAAGGGAATGTATGAAATTATAATAGTACCAACACACTCTTATATGGGTGTGAAGCTTGGGTTGTGAATGCAGCAGCGAGGAGGCGGTTGGAGGCAGTGGAAATGTCCTGTCTAAGGGCAATGTGTGGTGAAAATATTATGCAAAAAAAATTCGGGTGTGGAAGTTAGGAGAAGGTGTGGGTTGAAAAAGTTTTTGTAGAGGGCTGAAGAGGGGTGAGAGGTTTGGTCATTTAGAGAAAAGGGATCAAAGTAAAATGAATGGAGGATATAAACTGTAGGGGAGGAAAGGCGGGGTAGGGGCCCCTCAAAAAGGTTTGGGAAAGGGAAAGGGGGAAAAGGGAGGTTTTGTGGGTGGGGGCTTGGATTTCCCAGCAGGTGTGATGAGCATGTTCGATAGGAGTGAATGGAGACGAATGGTTTTTTGGACCGACGATCTGTTGGAGTGTGAGCAGAGTAATATTTAGGAAGGGATTCAGGGAACCGGTTATTTTTGTAAAAGGGACTTGAGTCCGGGAAATGGGAAGTAAAATGCCTCATCTAAAGGGGGGGTTTTCATGATATTAGCGTTTGGGGGTTGTTGTGTCTATATGTGTATGCTTCTAAATGTTGTGTTCTGAGACCTTGAAAAACAGTGATTATTGAGAGTGAGGGGTGTTTTGAAAATGATAAAAGTATTTTCTTTTTGGGATTTTCTTTTTTTTTGGGTCACCCTGCCTCGGTGGGAGATGGCCGACTTGTTAAAAAAAAAAAAAAAGGAATATACGAGGCCCCCTTTTTTGGGAAGAAAAAATAACTTTGAAATTTTTAATAAATGTAGTTAAATAAGATTGAATGCAAATGCCCTTGATTTGGTTTACCCCAAAATCCAAAGATAAGACAATAATGCATAAGTGTTTGCAATGAAGCTAATAGAATTCTTGGCTTCATATCAGTAAGTACAAGTAAAAAGAATCCTCAGGTTATACTTCAACTTCATATATCCTTGGTAAGGCACCATAGAGATCATGCTGCTCAGTTCTGATCTCTATTTTACAGAACGGACACCCCTCAAGGGAGGTTCCTTGACACTGGTGAGGGGCTCTTGATCTAGTTAATTGGATCTGTGCTCCAGTTCCCTGAATTGAGCCTGAATACCTTCCATGCCCCCTCCGTGTGCTCTATATAATCCTACGGGTTTAGCACTCCCCCCATGATTATAATAATAATATGGAATGGACATAAATATGCTGGTAATTATAAAGAGAAGGATGAAGTTGATATATATCAGAAACCTTTCCTTTGAAGATAAGCTGACGACATTAAATTTGCACTTGAGAGAGGCATGTAAATAGAGGATGTGATTCAAGCACAAATGGAAAACCAGACTATATAAAGGGATATAATCATGACAGGATTTGCAGCAATGGATTAAAGTTACACAAATTTAGACTTAGCAAGGATATAGAAGATGCACTTGCTTGGCATTAGAGTTTTAGATGAGCAGAGTAAACTCGCCTGTAGTGTCATTGAAAGTAAGAACACTGGGTAACTATAAAAATAGGTTTTATAGGTCAGTGAATGTGTGTGGTTGTGTACAAGTTGAACCTGCCTAGCATGGGCCAGTAGGCCTACTGCTATGCTCCACTGTTCTTGTGATTAAGATTTTTTTTACAATAACTTTTTTTCTTTAAGCCTTATTTTTCCATTACTTTATTATAAATATTTTTTATTTTTGGTTGTTTTTATTTTATAATGACTGATAGTACTTTTTTGGGAGTTAACATTAAAAGATAAGCAAAGTGAAGTATTGTAACTTTAGTGTGCACTTCTGTGTAAATGTAGATAATGAAGAAAAGACTCAAGATTCAGAGCTAACTTTTATTGGGACATTGTTGATCTGTGGAGAGTTATATGAAGTCATGACTTGATAAAGCTATACAGCTGTCCCAATGACAGCCTGTTTCTTAACCTCTTTTTTTTTCTTCAGTATTTTTGGCAGTATGCCATTTAGATGCACATTTCACACTCTGAATGTCTCAGGACAGAAATTAATTTAAATTCCCCAGTGCCGCAGTATGATTGAAGTGTATGGGCCCTACCTGGTGAACCTACTAGCTGAACTTGGTGATCCTGAAAAAGTTTGTCAAGGATTGAAGATGTGCCCCAGAGATTCACCTGAACATCTTCTGGGCGGCGAGAAATGTACTTGGGGTCCATCATATTGGTGCCAGACACAGATGCATGCTACTGCCTGTAAGGTAAGTAATCATGTGCATGTGGTAATAGGAGATGGTATGGAAGTCCTGACGAGATGTAATTAATGAAGATGTGAGCAGCAAGTCGAGACTTTTATTTCAACAGTGTTTCACCTACACAGCAAGTTTTTTTTTTTTTTTTCAAGTTTGGGACTTGATAAATGCCTGGTGTACAGATGAAAGGTTGTCTAAAATAAATTGCCAATTGCTACTCTTCATCAGTGACTGTGTGCATATGGTATAAGGTTTTCGTCAAATAGCATTTGCTATTACAGCAACTATGGTACAAGTCTTCTGTTATTTTCATTAATAATTCGAGTTTGATTTGTATATGGTACTCCAGCATGTGGAGCAGAGCTGATCATGAAATAGTTCTTGCTGGGAATTATGAAGGCAAATTGCAAAGGTTGGTGGATGAATTTGGGAGGGCATGTAAAACAAGAAAATTAAAGGTGGCTAGAAAAGAGCAAGGTGTAGCAAAAAGTCTGAGCAGTTCTAAATTGAACATCAGACTGGAGGGTGGAAGTATGGAGGAAGTGGATGTATTTAGACTTTTGGGAGTGGTCATATCAGCATATGGGTCTATGAAAAATGAGGCAAGCCATAAAATAGATGGGAGGAGGTTAGTGTGTCTTGGAGTTTCTGTAAGAAAAA